GGGGGTAAATACACTTGGGTTGATGTAATTTTTTATTGGAATGGAAATGGCTTGAAAACATACCATTTAAACTAAAACCATAGAATCTAAAGATCATCAATATGTTTTCCTAACTAAGGAAGGTAACTCTAAGGGAAAATTCCAGACTAGTACCATGTACTCTGGGTCTAATGCCACTTTGGTCTCCGAATTTTAAAACGCGACAGTTTAGTATCCGAACTTTAAAACGCGATAGTTTAGTATCCGAACTTTTAAAACATGTCAATCTAGTACCTACAATTTGATGCACTCGGGTGGGCTCGGGCTTGGGCCAGGGTCGGGTTGGTCAATGAACCCACTTTAAAATTATACATATATATATTCATTTATATATACAAATATGTATATATAAATATAGGTAAATATGTATATAAAATTTACATATATACACATATGTATGTATAAAACTATAAATGTATATAGTTGGGCTGGGCTTGGGCCGGGTTTAGGCTACCTAAGGGCTAGGCCTGTGCCTAGCTTGAAAAATAAAAAGCCTGACTTTTTGGGCCCAAGGACTAAAAATCCAAGCCTAGCCTGTGTAAAATTCTGAGTTGGGCGAGTTTGGGCTCGAGCTAGGCCCGCCCAAGTTGCACCCCTAGTCTCCTATCTCGCTGTCAATAATCAAGACCAATAGAAGATCCAAGGCTGACTCCAACATCGGCCATGCTACTATCATGCCAATCACGGAGAGTGAGTGCAACCCAAACCAAATAGGGACCACTTTCATTCATCGCCTCAAACCAACCACCTTAATTAGCACCTGGTGAAGCCACCCTTGGGGAAAACCTTCTGAGAACCAACATTCCAACAATCCAAATCCTCTTTTGTTCTGAACCAACACTCAACTTACCACTTCAACAATCCAGCTGGACCTTCCAATGTTCTACCTTCAAGCAACCCGCATAGCACTTAATCCAAACTTTAGTTGTAGGACCCCCAAACTATCAACATCCACCCAAGCCTTGGGAAGTTTGATGTTCGTGGAGCATCCATAGAATCTTCTCTTGTTGACAAAGTAGTTGAACAACTTGAAGTCGATCTCTGAGGACATAGATTGAATTAAGTGGGGGAGACTGTCACAAGTGAAGCTTTTAACCACGCCACTGCCACCAGCATGCCAATCAAGTGTCTTTGTGTGTGTCTTGGGTGGGCTATATGTGTATTTTGTATGTAGGGGACTATCCATGGCAGTATTGTAATTATCAGTATAATTTTTCAACACCTATGATGTTTCCTTCTATCACTCCTCCAAAAGCTCAAGCTATTCTTTGAAGGGAGGTAGGTAGTCGAGTGAACTAAGAACATGTAAAAGTTAAGCATGAGGTCCCTTCGACACAAAGTCATTTTGTGTTGAATTTGTCTAATTTGTATGTCATCCTTATTGCAATACAAAGTGACTTTGTCTAATTTGTATGTCATCCTTATTGCCTTTGTTGTTACTTCATAGGCTTCCTCTAATATAAGATTAAATATTGCAGCCTGGGGTTTGTCCTTCAAATTTAGTGATTAAAGATTCTTAAACATTCGCTTTCAACAATTACGAGTGGTGGTGATATGCTGCTGCGTCAAAGCATCAGCCTCTTACCAACTAGGACATACCAAAGAAACAACATTGTGATCACGAGGGTGGTTCAAGAACCAGACCTTCAATTTTGAGTTCCTTTGTCCATCAAAGGTAAAATAAATTAATGAAAAAGGTAAAATAAATTAATGATTTCATAAATTAAAGAAAAATGTAAAATAAATTAGAAAAGAATAATTTGGGCATTTAGAAAACTTTAAATAGTCAGGTGAGAATTTTTTTCGAAGTTAACGGAACACTGATGGAGGGGTGTCTTTTGTGGCAAACAAAAGTGCAGGGGGGTTCATTGTCACTGATCCCATAATACAAGGGGTCTTTGTAATGTATCTTTTTTTGGGAGGAGATCCTATATTGCCTTATATATCTTGGGAAAAGTACAGAATCGCCCAATGCAAATTTCTGATTTTCACTATTGCAGAGCTATAAACATTCAAAATGTCAACAATTCATACTATGCACCAATGTCTGCCTGTGAATTGACATCAATTCTGAGCTAGCACCTACCCCAACAGTACTTTAAGCTTACAAATTCTAACCCTAAGTTGAGCCGTCATTCTCCCTATAATCTTTTACCAACCCTTTACATTGCCTCATTGTCAAAATAGGGTTTTATTTAAATAATTATTCTATCAAAATAACACTAATTTCTATCTAATTTGCCTCTCATGATAACACATAGAGGTGTAAATAGATTGAAATTGAATCAAGTAATATTCAAATTCGAATTGAATTAAAAAATTAAAATTTGAATTTGATTTGATATCAGAAGAATATTAAAAAATAATATTTGAATTTTGAATTCAATTGAATATTTGATTTGATTTAAATTTGACCAATTTATATTTTATTTTAAGTTTATATACAATATAAATAGTTTTAATTATATAAAAATATAAAAATTATTTAAATATTTTATATAAATTATGTTATTTTGATAAACCATAACATTAACTATTAGAATTAACAAAAAAGTTAAACAAGGAAAGGTCTAGAATTAACAAAAAAGTTAACTATTAGAATCAGAACCTCTTCTCATCAAAAGCTTTGGCCCGGCTAGCCAGGTCATGGGCCATGATGTTCAAAGTTCTATTTACATAACCAAAATAGAAAGAAGAAAAGTCACATATTCATCAAATTAAATTGGGTCATATCTAATTTGATCAATTATCATATTCCAATTCTTCGAATTCAATTCGATTATACAGAACTTCTAATAATAACTGAAATGGCTGAATTGAATGACTTATTATTTATCTCTTTTAGTGAATAGATCATTAAGGAGGTGATGAATTCCTTCACTGCTTAAGGTGAAAATCGGGTTGATCATTACCGGTCAAATGGTTTGTTATTAAGGCTTAGTTTGGAAAGAGTACAAATGCAAATATGTATTGTGTAAATATATATATTTTTTGCATTTATACTCTTTCCAAACTCAGTTTAGAAGGAATACAAATATTAATATGTACAATATAAATATAAATACAAATATAAATATATACAATATAAATACATACAAACTAATACAAAATATAATGTTTTATACTCCTCCCAAACTGAACGTTAATAATCTTATAAGTCATTCAATTTTTTTTTTTTTTGCCAACCAACGGACAATTTCAGCCGTTCAAATGTTTTTAGTTATTTTTATTTTTTTTTAGCACAGGCGTCCAAAGGGAATTGATACATGCATCTAGCGTATTCCAACATTCTCCCCTTTAGTCATATTGCCAACTACGAACAAATATCAAAAGAAGGAATGAACCTCCAATTCGATCTTTAGTCCTTTTACTTAATAGAGCTTGGAATGAACCTTATCTTTTGTCAATTTTCTTGGACGGAGAGCTCGTGTAGTTTGCGTAAGTTTTATTTAAAAACACTTAAAAGCAGCTTTGTTTTGCCACGTGGAAGGAAGTCAATTGGGGCTGAAACTTGTCATGCATTTGAGAAGTTAGTTGCCACGTGTAAGATATAGATTTTTAGTTTATCTAAACAGTTTTCCTACACGGCGGCCCGTCTACCAATTCTCCACCCTAATCCCCTAAAAAGTTTATTCTATCAACCCCGAAGCATCTAATGCCTTTAGAGGCCCTTTTGTGCGAGGAATTTGGGCCGTTGATTGAAGGGGGGCTGAGGCATTAAGGGTCATGATTAAAAGTTCTTAACTAGGGTTAAGGTAGTGAGGATGAAATGAAACCCTAGTGAGAGTGTGAAGGGTTAAAGCTTTGAAAGAATTTTCAGAGAATAGGGAAGAGTGAGAGAGACATATATAAAAAGTGCAGATGCCTTGTTGATGTCCTCCTCTTCTTTTGATTTCCTTTTTCCCGTTCAGCTGGGTGAGAGAAGGTGAGAGAAGAGTGTTCAGGCTAGAGAGAAGAGAGGGAGAGAAAGGAGAGTGGGAGTGAGAGATGTCGGACGACGACCATCACTTTGAGTCCAAGGCCGATGCTGGCGCGTCCAAGACCTACCCTCAGCAAGCTGGAACCATCCGTAAGAACGGATACATCGTGATCAAGGCCAGGCCATGCAAGGTATCGAATATCAATCCTTTATGTATGAATCCCTCTGTTCACGTCTTTGTTTGCTTGTTGTGTTCTTAATTTTTCATCTGGAAAAAAGTTTGATTTTGTATAATGGGTTTCCACAAGATCGCTGTGGTTTGTTTGGTTCTTATTACCGTCTGATTGCCTGCTGGATTTCATTCCTTTTGGATTTTGGTTTCGTGTTTTTGGTTGATTTTTGTGTAATTAATGGATAGATGCTTCTTTTCATTTTCCCCCTTTTTTCCTTTTTAATTTTTTAAGTTCCATTTAGACTATGCATTTGTCCCGGATAGTTATTCTTTTATTTTGTTTTTTCCAGTTTTTGGTGTTTCACCTAATATGATTTGTTCTTTCCCATGCACTTTTCCCCCTATTTTTAGTTGGTTTTCTGTGATTTGTTTTTTAATTTTTTCTGGTTCTGTACAATATCATATGGGAATCCCTCTACTATATCAAGCGGATCAATAGGGATAACTTTTTTTTTTTTTTTGCTGTTTCCTCCTGGTTATTGCTCAGTGATCTTCAGGGGTATAGTAAATTTATGTTACATCCAAGATATCTGCAACAAATTTTCTTTATATAAATATTCTTATAGGAATTAGGTTTCCTTTCTTGGTTCTTTGGAGATTATGTTTGGGTTGGTTAGGTTTTTATGATCTTGAGCCAACTCTAAATAGTTGGTTTTGAGGCTGAGTTGAATTGAGGGTTTTATGATCTTGGTGGCACCTTAAAAGTCTTGTTTCACTTAAGAAATTGAGTTCTTCTATTAGGGAAACTCATAATTGAGGATGGTATTATTTTGTAGGAGTTGATTTTGCTTCACAGTAGCACTGGATGTGGCTAATCCAGTTCCCTTGGTTGTTAGAAGTCCTATTGTTTTTGTTTCTCAGATTAACTTTATCTCGTTTTAATACTTCGTCTAAAATCTCCAAGTTTGATGGTTTTGGATTTGATACAGATTAGACAACTCAGAGTAAATGGAAAAAAAAATGAAGTCATGTTGATAGAATGGTCTTACCTTTATGTATTATCTTTTTCTAGGACTAATGTGTGTTCTTGCACAGTATAGATCAACTCATCCAAGATCTATGACAAAGTCTGAAAGTTTACATTCCATCTTTTGAGATTGAGGGCAATGAGAAATCTCTGTTGAAGGCGTAAATTATAAGATTTCTCTTCTGAATATGGCCCTCATTTGGTAGTAAGCAGTGTTGCATGGATTCTCCAAATTGATGAAGTGTCTCTGTTGGATTTTGACACTTGATGAATTCTTGAGACTCTCCAAATTTCTCCTTGCTTAGTTGGCTTAAATGAACAGCTAAAGTACAAAATGAGCTTTATTTTTGTTATTAAGTAGCCAAGACACAGTTCTAAACCATTTTCCCTAGGTGTAAAATGCCAGAATTCAAAAAAGAAAAGCCTATTTTAATATATTATATTTTTCTATTGGATGTCTCTGAGTCCTTTATTTTCTTCTTGTGTGTCAGATTCCTGGAAACATGTCAGATTTTAATTCTTGTGTCCATGTCCTTGCAGCACTGACTGTAACTTGATATACATTAATTTTTGGGTGGTTATCCTTCAGGGGTTTTAGTTATGTCTTTTAGGAAATGATTGATGGTGGATGATTAAAATTTTAAAACTTGTCCCAGTGGGTTGAAAATGTTTTCTAAGGTGAAGTATATAGTTATTTGAATGCAAAGCTGACATGGTTTGACATGTCAATGAAGGATATGTTCTACTCCAGAAAATTGTTCTGGGTCATCTATCAGTAAACATGGAGGTTGGGCAGGTTGCTTGGACTTTGTGGAATTGCAAGTTTGCTCGGTTAAGTCTTTTCCTTGACCAATTTTGTGTTGACTCTTCCAAGGGGCATGGTGTTGGTATTGGAATTGTGTTCTATTCTAAAGGATCCATTCTAGAAGAACACTTCTTGATGTTTATATTTAATTTGGCCTCGTTTGGTCTGGTTTCACTATTGATGTCATGTTCTGTTCTGAAGGGCTACGTTCTAGAAGAGAACTTCTAGTCTTCATATTTATATCAGTTATGATTGTTTTTAACTAAAGAAATTATTGTTCAATGTGAAAAAGGCCATAGAGGAAAAAGGGAAAGAGTACACACCCACCAATGAGGAGGGATGTGCTTTGGATTAAATTCTTCCATATTGGAATGCAAACTTTATGTATTTCTGTGCATGGCTTGTACCTTTTGACCTTCTTAGTTGGTATCTAGGTGCTTTTGTCTTTGGGTGGGGTTGGGGGTTGTGGAGGCTTTGATATTATTCTTGTATTTATCTTTTAATGAAAAATCATAATTTTTTTTTTATAAATAGAGCCATTGATTTAGGAACCTCCTATTTTTTCCAAATACTAGCACAGAATAGGGGTGGAAATGAATCGAGCTTTTCACGAGCTATTTCGAGTTCAGCTCTTGAAAAGCTCAATTCGGCTTAGTTTAAATCAAGCTTCAAGCCGAGCTCGAGCCCGTTGAAGCTCTACTTGAGGCTCATGAGCCTAATCGAGCTTTATGCATACATACATACATATGTATAGTAATACTTTTTATTATATGTATAATGATATTTTATATATATTTTATTTTTTATATATATGATAATAAATAATTTTTATGTGTAATTTTTATTTTTTATAGGAAGCTTGGCTCATAGTTGAGCTCGCCGAGCTCGAATATACGAGCTTTTGAGTTGAGCCGGAGTCTAGCTCAAGTGTCTAGTGCGAATCGAGTTCAAGCTTGAGTCTAACATTGTTTTGGTGAGTCAAGCTCGAATAGCTAGATATTTGGCTTGGCTACATGGGAAATGGGGACATGACTCTCCATTTCCTAATATCCTAGATGCAGTTAGGACTGACCTGTTTAATGAGCTTATATTGTGCTTTCTTATCTATTTTTTGAAGCTAATTGTTACAGAAATTTTAAAAGGTATGCTGCATCCCTCACCTAGGCCTAGGTGCTGCCCATTTGAAAATGCATATGCCTGGTATGCCTTGTGCCTGAGCCCATATGTGCACTTCAGCCTAGTTCTGCGCCTTTTCAAGCATAATGACTGATCTGGGGGCTTTGCCCCTATACCTTTGACCAAGCTTCTTGAGGGAAGTCCAAACCAGAATTTAGGGCATCACATGAACTTGTTTCAAGGGGCTTGGTAGAGAGGTGGAGGGTTGATCTTGTAGAAATAGGAATGCAGGATGTTTAACATCACGTTAGTTATTTGAAGTAGGAATGCAAGATTCTCCAATGAGTGATTGAATATGTTTTATATCATGTTTGATTTTATGTTTACATTTTCAATTTAAATATGTTTTTTTATGCTATGTTTATTTATTTTAATTTGAGCCAATAGGCTTTTTAAAACATTTAGTTTCTTTTAAAATTTATATTTGTATTTTTTAATTAATACTATTTTAATTTTGATTTTGTTTTGTTTAAATTTTGTACCCTGCACTTTGGGCGCAAAAGCCAAGTGCACATCAGTTGAATTTGTTAATGCTTTTCTCTTGACACATTAGTTAAATTTTCAACCAAAAGAATGTATTTAAAACATCCCATCAGATATTAGTTGTGTTAATGCCATCCAGTATATCGATGCTGTATCTGGTGTTTAGTCAAGTATGTAATTATGTATTATGCCTGAGGTTGATATGCGGGGCATGGATGCTATGCTATTGGTATTTTGGTAGGCAAATGGGCTATACTATGGGGGTATTCCTCCCCCAATCCCTGGTGAAGGCTGGATTAGATCCCAAGCCTCAGGTACAAAATTATGCATTTATCCATCGATTTATGGGATTTCAGTTGAAGTTCTCCCTGTTTCCACCAGAACAGTACTTCATAATGTGCTTGATTTTCTGGTATTTTGGCAAATGAAATATATTGGTATTTTTATTGCCAATACTTGTTAAAGTTCGTTAATTATGGGATTTCTTATTATTGATAGTTTTCTATCTCCTTTAGTGGGAACTGGGAAGTTTTCTTGGCAAGGTATAAGAGGATTTATGACGAATTGTCTGCAAGATACATGATCCAAATTAGGTGTTTGGTGGGTGGGGGGGTGGACTGTGGAGCCATGGAGGTGCTCATTTTTGGGAAATTTCGAAGTGGTGTATGAATGGGTTGGTCATACTTCTATCTTAGCTTTGTAGGTATTATGAAGTTACCTTGAAGAGGATGGGTTTGCCTTCAGAAATGGGTAGATAGCTGACATTTGTTAATTACCATGAAGATGATGGGTTGCCTTCAGAAATTGGAAGTTAGCGGGCATTTCTTGCTTATATCCTGGCTATTATGCTCTTGCTTATCCTGAAGTGGTTTCATGTATGCTAAGCCAGATTTGAAGCAATCCAGCTCCTCAGGTTGCTCTGCATCTGTTGAGAAGTCCCTGCAGGATTACTGCATCTCGTGTAAGGATGCTTTTATCTATTATTTCATTGCAATCATACTTGTATATGTCGATGTATGTGGTGATCGGTCCTTTTGCTTTGAGGGCATCGTATGATGCGTCTACTTGTTCCATCCATTGTAATAAACTTGATTCTAATGTGATGTTTGGTGCATGTCACACACCTTCATGTGGCTTTTGAAATCTACTTGTCGTGCTAGCAATCACACTCTCATCTCGTAGGTATGCTTGTTACGTGCTGACTGTACATTTTATACCAGTAATGATTCTTACTGTTTTCGTTCCTTGCTATAGTGGGAAATGGAGCTGTAGATGGTTTTAACACATTTAACCCATTCATGTACAAGGGGTAACATTGAACTTCATGGTCCTTCCCAACACCTGGCCTTTTTCTCATTTTCTTTTTCTGCATGCAGGTTGTTGAGGTCTCTACCTCCAAAACAGGGAAGCATGGTCATGCCAAGTGTCACTTTGTGGGGATTGATATATTTAACGGCAAGAAGCTTGAAGATATTGTGCCTTCGTCCCACAACTGTGATGTAAAACATCGCCCATGTTTTCTTTTTTTCTTAAGTTTTTCCCTCTTGGCTTTCATTTTTAGGGGCATCATTCTCACTTTGTCAGTGATGCTATAGAATCTTGTTGGTTTAGTCGTTTATTCGTATTGTCTTTTGCAGGTTCCCCATGTTAATCGTACTGATTATCAGCTGATTGATATTTCTGAAGATGGTTTTGTAAGTTACTTATTTGCAAGTTCTGCTATTTGGGTTTTAGTTTATATGTTCTTGGTTATCAAACCAACCGTGGTTGATTGGGCTTGTGTAGGTGAGCCTTCTGACTGAAAATGGGAACACTAAGGATGATTTGAGGCTTCCCACTGACGAGAATCTGCTGACCCAGGTTCGTAGCCAGCTCCCTTGAACCCAACTCAATGAAATTTCTGATGCATTTTTTATTGACCAAGGCTGGCCTGAAGTTCTTAACTTTCATATTTACTTTACTTTTTGTATACAGATTAAGGATGGGTTTGCTGAAGGAAAGGATCTCGTAGTGACGGTCATGTCTGCAATGGGCGAGGAGCAGATCTGCGCTCTCAAGGACATTGGCCCTAAAAATTAAACTATTAAGCCATATATCTGGCTACATATTATAGCTATACAAAGAACCACTTTTTTTTTTTTTTTAATTTCCTGGTTCAGTACCACTGCGTGGTGTTGACTCAAACTATTAAAATGATCTGGTAGTATTGTAGTTAGAAAAACTTAGTTTCAGCTTTGTACAAGGGGGGAAATGGTAGGCAACGGCTTTGATGATCCCCTTGTATGGGGGACCGGAACTGCCCAGGGCCTGCTGCGGTAGGATAAGCTATGTTCTATGATGTCATATTCTTTTATGTTTTTCGACTTAAATATAGAGTTCATAACTTCATATTATGTGAAAATCTCAGGTTGCATTTTTCTCCCTGTGCATTACATGCATCAAATATTTTGATTTTTTGAATTTCAGAATTGGCCACAACCACAAGGGGTTAATTGGATTCTGTTTCAGATGTCATATGGTCCAAGTAGGGCTTTAATTGTTGCTGGTGGTTCAGTGGCTTCAGCCCTCGGGCTCTGGACTGGTGAAAACCTGTTGTGACCTGAATGTTTGTTTATGGTGCACTGCACCAGTTGAGTTAATGGCATTCACAGCCTAAATAAATTGTTGCTCTTGAAAGGTGGACTTTATGTAATGACTATCTTCTTGTGGCAGTCTTCTGCCATTCTTTTAATTTTTGCTTTCGATTTACAGTTGTCTGTTCAGGTGTTGTTCTCCCACATTAATGCTTCCCATGTTGCCCTGTTTGCTGCCGTTCAAGGTATTTATTATAGAGTTGTCTTCTCATCGAGTCAGCCAGTCAGGGTCCCCCCCCCCCCTCTCCTTTCTGCTGGAGAGCTGGGCAATTTTCTGATTATCTTTCGAGCTTCGACCCTTGGGAGTTGGGACTGTGTGATAACCAAGTCATTTTGGGTCAATTCTTATCTCCTATTTCCTAACTGAGCTATTTCCATTTCAGTTTTGTGGATTGATTAAGGGTCCGTTTGGTATACAGTTGGAATTGGAATTAGAATGGTCTATTCTTGTCTGGTTGGTTCAGAGAGGAATGGGAATGGGAATTGAAATCAGCAGGAATGGGGGATTTCATTTCCAAGGGAGGGGTAGGGAATGGCCATTTCCTCAAATGGGGGAATGCCATTTTAGCAAGAATGGGAATAGGATTCTGATTTTATTTAACCAAACAGTTGAAATCGGAATAGCCCATTTCAATTCTGATTTCAGACCCCTATTCCCGTGAACCAGACGGGGCCTAAATTAGTTTCCTAATAAAATGTTATCCCTGAATTGGAGCAATAACACCTTTGCTAGAGCCATAATTCAGCTTGGTAGGTTGCTTTCTGTGTTTTGTAGCTGGAAATCTAAATTAGCTCCAAGGATTTTGTCGTTCCTTTTTCCCCTTTGCCATTTATTTTTTGGGTTTGACCACTGGACATTGTTTGCCTTGCGTAATAGTTTGATAATTCCTTTATTTGATAGGAGCATGGTGTTGCATTGGTCAGACTTGTTTGTAGTGTAGACATTGTTGGTGATTTGTACCATGGTTGTTTGTATTAAACGCCGCCGCATCAATTCCATTAGGTATTGAGTTTAAACATTAATTTTCTGTTTGGTTGAGACTGTTTTGAGTTAAAACAGTTATTAAGCATTTCTAGAAACATAAGCCAAGGGTTAATGGGGAAACATCAATTATCCATTTGAAGAAACAATCGAATGACCTGGCTCTTACTTGGCACCCTGCAGTATAAATATATACTTGTGCATCACAGAAGTGTAAAGGCGGATAACTGTTTTAACTCAAACATTTAGGTTAATTTTTTGGGTTTTATGTTTCTTGAAGCATTAGATCTGCATAATTCTTGTGAAATTATTTCTCTATACGTTTGAGCTTGAAATGACAATGATACCAAATACAGCCATAGTTTGTAGGCAGTGCATTTCATCTGTGCTGCGTAAATGGATTGAGTGCAAATTCTGCTTTGGGTTTTACTTCGCTTCCATTGTTTGCACTTTGTGGTGAGATGAAGTAAAATAGAATTTGAAGTACTAGAATTTGCATTCCCATGCATCTTAACAGTGCAAATGAAATTGGTTTGTATGGATCTTCCTACCTTTTCCTACATTTTTTTCAAACCAAACACAGCCTTAGTTTTGTCGTGTTTATACATAAATTTACTTTTGTCACCATCCAGTTTCATGTGACGATCCCATTCTTGCCAAAAAATGTAACAACCCCATGAACGGTAATATTGGTTTACGACAATCAAGCTGGATCTTGACTTAGGCGGCATTTGGTTCCATGTTCATCTTATGGGTGGATCGTTTCGATCCATGCCACAGGATGAACAGGGTGTTTGGCAGGTCGTGGATGAAACCGGTTCATACTATATCGTGGACTGGTCTTGTTCACATTCCATATTATTGGCCACGGCATTTTCTCGTAGAAGGGGTTCATCCACAGTTTAACTTTGATGTCTTGCTTCACATGCTCCTTGGAGAACCCTATCTTTGGCTCTCTACTTCACATTTCAGGAAACTAATTGACCACTATTTTGATGTTATGCTTGTCTTACAAGTAGTACAGGAATAAATGGATTATTATGCATAAATCATTTCGATGCTATGTTTATCTTGCAATAATTTATTTTATCGTTTGTTTAAATATATTATTTTAATATTTTTATTAATAAACTATTAATTAGTTTTTCTTATTTTTTTATGTTTTTATCAATAAAATAATGTTTTTAAATATTAAGAAATATATTTTTTATTTATTTTACTATTGATTTATTAAAATTAATATTTTTTTATTAATATTAATTTATTGATGCCTTTTTTAATATATTTATCATATAAAATACAAAAATTAGATATTTATGATTAATTATGTAGATCATTCATAAAATGTATCTAAAATATATGGAACCAAAAAAGTATGGTGTGGATTAGTTCATACCACGCGTACAAAACACTACTGTGGATGTAGATTGGTCTAATCCACAGTTTGCCCACAATTATTACTGTGGTATGATATCATCAATGCAATCCACACTACACCCATTAATTTCTCATCCACTTTACAAAACACTGAATACCCCCTTAGATGTAATTTAGTCTTCTTGATAGTTGGTTCAGTTTGGAGAGGATTTTGGTGACAGCCAGTCAGCCAGGTTTAAATATGTATATGACAGTATCTTTTGTCATGCATTGGTTTTTGGTCATATTGGAATGAATTAATGTATACTTTATATTTAACGCCTCCTAACTTCTACCACCATCTCATTAATTCCTACATTAACTCTTACATCAAACGTAAGGTCACTTTTGGTTCGACGGAATTTTCCCATAACTTTCTAGTTTCTATATCTCTCACTTATTTTCCGTCAAAACAAACACAAGCTTCGGGTTTAAATCCAGATAAAGACAATTACTCTTACCACTGCACCATATTTACTTGCAAACTCAAATTTCATTACGATTTAATTATTTTCTGATACTTTACAGTATATATAGTTTACATTTATATTTTCTTTTTCTTTTTATTTTTTTTTATGAGCAGCAGTTAACATTTTACATAAACTATTAAAATATGGTATATTATGTGTTTTCACATCTTTTAGGCTTTGTTTACAGTGTTAATCTGAACCGGAACAAAATTTTACTTTTTATCTCTTTTGCACTCATTAGTATTACAAATTTTGTATCTCAAAATCTGTTTAAAAATTTGCACCAACTTTTACCCACATGAGTTCTCTCTCATATAAAGTGAGTGGGATCATATCATTTTGCTGCTGCTTCTTCTTCTTCTTCTCTCTCTCTCTCTTTATTGGCTAATGCTTCTTATTTCATTCCCAAACAAATAATCCTACTCATACCTCCATGCTCTTTCGTATGAGATGGGGATCACATCATTTTACTTGTTACATACAAAATAGACAAGTCCAGATTTAAAGCAAAAGTAAATCAGAATTTACACTTATCCTATTCGCCCTTCCATCCATTTACAACTGTACAAATGAAATTGAAACTGCAAACAAACTGAGCCTTGTATTGATATGATACTTGGCTTTACAAGCACTCAAATCATTCTCTTAATGAAGCATCTGAATAGGCTAAGAGGAGTCTACTTGTATTGTTAACTTTTAAATCTCTTTGAATAACTTCGATTTGAATATAAACTTCCAAAATCGTATAAAATTTGAGAGAATATCATTGACAAATAAAATAGTTTATAAAGCAGTCCAGATGCCTTTCACATGTGGGGCTTCAATAATATATTAGTCCCAAAAAGAAATGGATAGAGTATATTTTAAATTGAATAAAAAAAAAACTGGTTTACCTTTAGGCCGACCAAGAATTTAGGGTCCAAGCTAACAATTGTCGTCTACCATCTTACCTCTCTTGGTCCTTGCTTATTAAGCAAAATTTTCAACAATCTTACATGGGGTCCATCCCATCTATCGGACGGCTAGATGTTCGACACGCGGAATAATTGTAGCAGGTCGTACAATTATAATTAAATTTGAGTGGACACCGTGAAGGCGTTCTCCACCATCCGGATCACCTGCCAACAAAATATATTCCAACTCCTACTAACATCACCTCATCGGTGCGTCTTTGTGGCCTTGTGGGATGCCAGATAATGTTGGTAAGTTGTTGGAATGTATTTCGTTGACAGGAGATTGCCACTATTCACAAAAGGCAAAGCGTTGGTTACAAATTACAATGCGCAATACCATTTGTTTTAACTACGTGGTCGTCTCATAAAGCGTGCGACCGGAAATTATTCTCTTCGCCTTCTTACTGGTCTTCTCATGGCGACTCCTGCTTGCTCAGAAGATTTTTGGAGGTATCTTTCTGTCACTGAAAAGTTAGAGATTTTTTTGGGGTTTCTTCTCAGGTTGTTGTTCATTTGTTTTCGTGGGTTTTGATTCTTGTGGGTTTCCGTTGCAGATTTGTCAAGAACGGGGCCCCGGATAATGCAAATGGGTTGATTCTTGAATCAGTGAGAGAGTCTCTGATTCGGCAGGAGGACACCATTGTCTTTAATCTCATTGAGAGAGCCAAATTCCCGCTTAATTCTCCGGTTTACGATGAGCCTTGTGCACAAATTCCTGGCTGTTGCGGATCCCTTCTTGAGTTCATCGTGAAAGAAACAGAATCGCTTCAAGCCAAAGTGAGAGCTTTTCTTTTCTGTTTCACCTTTCTGGCATCTTTAAATTCATCGATGCCTGCTATTTCCATAAATTCGACATGGGTTCATTTGTTTTTGATTTTTTATTCAGTGTACCAATCTCTTTGATGACATACCAATATAAAATTTCAGTTGAAATACTGTAATTCCCGTCTTAGCTCTCTTTATTTACACATCTGTTTTGGGTTCTGAGTTAATGGCACTTTCTTCTCTGAGAAGTTGGTAGGGTGTTGAGTTTCTCTTTATTTTTAATTTTTTACAGGTAGGTAGATATGAAAGCCCAGAGGAAAATCCTTTCTTCCCAGATGCTTTACCCCCACCAGTGGTTACCCCTTATAACTACCCGCAGGTCAGCTGTTCTTTAAAAGTCAGATCTCCATTTTAACATTCCTGAATCTGAAAATGAATTTTTTTTCTTGATCATAGGTATTACATCCTGCAGCTGCTTCCATTAACATAAATAAGACCATATGGAATATGTATGTGAAGGAACTCCTTCCACTTTTTACTGTTCAAGGTGATGATGGTAACTATGGATCCACTGCTTCCAGTGATGTCCAGTGTTTGCAGGTAAGAATGGGGATGTAATCTTAGTAGAACTGAAAATTGAGTTCATGTATGAGAGTACATATGAAAGGGTAAAGTGGTTATCTTCAGGCCCTCTCTAGAAGGATTCATTATGGAAAATTTGTAGCTGAAGTCAAATTCAGGGATGCTCCACAGGACTATGGGCCTGCAATCCGTGCTCAGGTATTACAGTTATGTTTCTAAGCAGAATATCAAATGGTTTGATCCTTTATTACATGGTAATGATTGTTTTGATACCTACAGGACAGAGATGCTCTGATGAAACTTTTGACATTTGAGAGTGTTGAAGAGATGGTGAAAAGAAGGGTTGAGAAGAAGGCAATGGTTTTTGGACAAGAGGTGAACCTAGGTGACAGGGGGGACAAGGGAAACTACAAGCTTGACCCATCCATTGTTTCTCGCCTTTATGGAGAATGGGTGATGCCTCTGACTAAGGATGTTCAAGTTGAGTATCTCCTCCGTCGCCTTGATTGAAGCTTTTGAATCATGTATTGACACAACTTAAAAGCCTGATGAGTTGCAATTGGCAAATAATTGTTCCTGATGCATTCCCAAAATGTCATGCTACATATGATAGATAAAAGCATGCGTTTATAAATATTAAGAAATAAACTTAAGATTCTATCAGAAGCTCAACTTTAAACAACTATACCAAGAATCTGCTTGTTGATAACTTGATTAATGCTTGTATGATGCATCATTCTGTGTCAAGTATGTGTCAATGGAATCGTAATTCAATTGGATGTTGAATTATGTACCAAAAAAGTGCTGTATTACTTGTATAAAAAAAAGTGCTGTATTACAGTACAAGGAAAAAAAACTGCATACCTCAAATTGTAAATAGATCAGTAACAAATTTAAAACAGAAATTTAAGGAATGCTAATTGATTACTATGTGGATTATTTAATGGGAGAGGAAGACCATAGATGTATGATCAAATCCCCAGAAGGTGATGATCAATGAGAAGATCTTGAAACCACTCATGGGGTCATTAAGGAGGACAGCTGCAACACTTGTAAGAGGTACCCTTACTGCATTAAAAGTACCAGTCAGCACAGTAGAAGCCAGATAGAGCAGGCCTGTTCCCCCCAAACCCCTAGCTGAAAAGTAATAGAAGCCCAGATGAGAACCAGGTAGTATGAGGCTTCTCCATGTTTGAAACTTTTAGCTTCACACTTCATTCCCTGAAAATCCCCATTTACAATTAAAGCAATTGTAGTAAACACAGGAAAACACAGAAACCATTATATGCTGCTCCAACACAACATGGAAGGATCTTCTCCCTTGTAACTACACAAAAAGTAGCTCTGAAAGAGCAAAGATAAGACCATTCAGTGCAGATCCCATAATCTCCCAGAAAACTGCCAGGTTATATTGGCTACTACTGGTATAGCTACATCTGTCTGAATCTGAATCCAATGCAATGATAACCATAGCAGCAGTGATGATTACAATGGCATTTAGACTGCAACTGTCCAATTTATTTTTCACTATAAAGTAGCCAAAGATTGCTGAAAACACAAGAGTAGATGAAGCTAGAAGAGAAGCAATTGATGCTGGGAGGTAAGCATAAGCCCATGCAAACATGAAGTTGTCAGCAGCACTTGAGCCCAATATAACATAAGACAGAGTTAATTTGAAAGTAAGAGCAGTGGGCTTGGTGTTACCAAGGTACAAAGGAAGTAAGAAGGCAGCAGTTAGAGGCCATGCTGCAACTGCCACCCATGCAATGATCTACTTGCTCTTCCCCCAGCAGCATAATAGAGCCCAAGATAGGAGGCTAGCAGCAGGAAAACCCACAAGCAAAGCTACACTGCTTAGAAGTAGCAGAATCCAATATGACATGGGTTTCTTTCTATATGTTTCCCATGTGGTCAAACTTTGTCTTGAAAACTTTCTCCAGTATGGAACAGAAGGGCCTGATGATGCCCCCTCTTCAGTAATTTGAACAAAAACATCTGCCCAGAAGAGGAAAACAGAAGTTAGGAAAAAGAGTGTATGATTATGAGAAGCATGAATATATTGAAATAGTAAACTGACCACTCAAAAGTCGCAATAGCTGATAAAGGAGAATTGAATTGGATGGATGAGGAAGACAAAGACCTACCTAGAATAAATCCCGCAGAAATTAATGAGGGTGAAAAGAAACCAATTAACCAAATACTTGAAAGGAATCCGGAAAACAAAAAAGAACATAAAATGGTGAAATGGAACCCAATTGAATTGGTGAAAGTGGGTGGTTTCCTCAGAAGAGTGAAGGTAGAACAAAAAGTAATAGGGGATAGTCGTGGCCAAAGGAAATGAGCTAGGACTAAAATTGCTTTCTATTTTTTGGTTTCTTCTCCCCCTCCTAAGGTCCAAGTTTATTACAAAATACAAGGAAGATAGGAATAAATCAAAGATCGGCAAGTCTTTTTATCTTTCTTCTCTGTCCTCGGTCTTGTTTTTAAGGCTCAGTTTAGAAATACAAATACAAACCTACTGAAAGTTGTAGCTCGAGAGCATTTTATAAATGGAAAAAATAAACAAGCTTGTTATCTTTGAATCCCAAGCTTGCATTGTGGGAAGAAAGCTGAAGTTATAATACACTAGAAATTTCTATTCTGTTCTACCAAAAATAGAGAAGGAATTTCTACGTTATTCAAAAGCTGTTGAAGTTTACATCAATTCAAAGAGTATCATTTTATTTATTTACCTTGTCATTCCGATGATTTGACTTCCATGAAGCCAACCAACCACGAACTTGAGCAATGGTGCCGATAACAGTAGGAATTCAGATTAGCTGAACGTTTTAACTGTTCAGCGGGCTGTGGAACCAATGATGAGGCTCAATGCCCATAATAAATTCATGGACCCCACTGTAAAATATGCAGACCCCATGTATTTAATTGTGGCATGGTGGTTCTACACTCAACTGAACAGCTAAAGCGTTCAGGTAAACTTTGCTCTAAAAATAACCAAGCATGCAATTCAGAAAAGTATGGACAGGCCTAATGCAGATTTTTGAATTCTAGTGTAAATCAATAAACATCTAGAAGGTAAAAAATTCACACTCTATGCACTTATACCCACTCGTGGATTGACATTAATTCCAACCTGACACCTACCCCAATTGTACTTTGGGCCTATGAATTCTGACCCTGGGCTGAATGGTTGTTCTCCCCATACAATTTCCTTTTATGGTAAATTACACTACATCTGAAATTACAGCCCCCCATAATCTATTAGTAACCTCCCCCTATAAACCCTTTCTTCCCCATGGATTTGACATTGGTCAAGACTCAAGAGTCATCACCGGTAAGACAAAGAATTTTGAGGTGGGTTGAACAGTCATTCTCCCTTTCTCCCTTTTCGTTTTATAATGTTGAATGTTTTGATTGATTGAATTGAAGGAGACATTTGCCAAATCCACTAATTACAGCCTTTACGTCCTTGCGACCTTTTCCGTCTTGATATTTAACTCTTGAATTTGACTTGTCTGAAAGCTGGGTGCAAATTGAATAGACATCGTGCAGGAAAACGAAACAAACAGTACCGTTGTGGTCCTTTCCTACCGTCACAGTGGCACTTGATCCTGTACCCGCATTTTCAACTTGGAAGGTAAAACACAGTTAGTTCTTGCTTCATGGGTGATGAACCACTTCAATTAGGCCAGTGGCTACAGAAATTTACAAGTCAATCAGATGTCACCACCAGTCACCAGCTTTTTCTTGTGGTCTCCTCCCAGTTTCATGAGATGATATCACAAACAGCATTTTCAGGATTAGAAGACTGGAGCTTGACTCAGAAACAGTCAGGGTTCTATGGCTCTTTCTTGAACTAGTGGCGTAGCCCAACAATGTCAAAAGCATTTTTACAAATGAAGATGAATTGGGAAAAGGTTTTGACGGCAACCTTTTTGCACAGTCCGATCGCCATGGTTATCTGAGAGGTCATCCTGGTTGAGTGGTTGGTTTCTAACTTTGTATGCACATTGACCCCCGTGTCAGGCTTTCCTCGCTTTATTTTGCAGAAAAATATAGGGCCCGTGAAAAATCACTTTCCCTCGGGTAAACTTTTGGATTATCCTTGGCAAGTACGGATGGCAATTTCTTGTGCCCGGCCATGTGCTTTGATGTGGCCGTGACAGGGATGGGATTAATAGGGATCTTCCACTTGAAAGGGGTTCGGTAGTTTTAGTTCAGTCCCTCATAATTTTTAGGGTTAAGTACTCTGCAATCCAATGCAGAATTCTGAATGACAGTCTCCTATAGTCTTTTAGTAACCCCCTATAAATCACATCCCTTGTACGGTAGGGTTACAAAATTCTGATCTGGATTGACCGGTCATTCTCTCTAATTTTTAATGTGATCGTACACTTTGGATCGGTGTCAAAGGGGAGGGGACGGAGGGGGGGGGAGATTCCCAATTTACCAGATGGTGTTTATAACGGATAAATGCATTTGAGAAATTAATAAAACAATTCTGAAGGGGAGTGAATTATAAAAAGACCATTATTTTAGAAAATTTATTTTTAAAAAATTACTGTTAATTAAAAAATTTTAGGGATTCAAGTTCTCACGGAGAACCCATCTCCGTTGAGGATCAGGGATGGAGGATAACTTTTATCCCCAGCAGGGATCGGGGTCGGAGATAAGGAATATGATCCCCACCCATTGCCATGCCTATTGGTGTTACCATTTTCATTCTCTTAAGTGGATAAATCACTTTACTGTGAAGGAGAAGGTTATCCAAACTGCTATGGGACTAAAATGCCCCTACCAGGATACAAAACCCAAGGGTAAAAGTAGTAATCAAGGAAAAAGTGATTGGGCTCTAAGCTTGGGCCTCAAAACTTGGACTTATCCAACTGTGGTTGGACACTTTTGAGGCCTTGGATAACCCGAACCTAGCCTAACCTGATCCAAAGGAACCCCTGAGCTCCTCTTCCTACCTTCTATTTATGGAAACAATTTTGGCCCGAAAACATTTTTGCCGCATGCACAAAATAAGCCTACTTTGGTAAGTAAGAATGTGAGATTTTGATTCAAAAAAATTTTGAACTCTGAATGGCCAACACTACTTGTGATTTGTGAAATCCACCACTACAAGGTTGGATATATAGATAGATAGATAGGTAGTTAAATTTGGATTGACGGATTGAACTTGTGGCCAACCCGTGGCCCAGGGGCTTAGAGTTTGGTCATGGGTTGGGCCTAAACCCAACCCAACCTGCCCAACTACAACCCAATTAGATGGTGAACTCTAGTGATCAACTGCTGATCTAAAATATGAATGAAAGAAGATGAAATCATTTTATTCATGACAGCATTCAATCATTCAGAAAAGAGAATGAACTACAAGAAATTTTCACAAAATGTATAATATCTAAGCATAAAAAAATTCCCTATTCAAAAAAAAAATGTAAAAAGAAAGAAAAGAGGGGCATCGGGAAACTATTTTGAATTTCTGATCTTAAGATATGTTTTAAATAGAAAAAAACCCGGTTATCATGTTCCAGCAAAGAATTAGGATCCAAAGCTAAGAATTAGAGTCTTTTGCTTAGACCTGTTACTGAAATTGCTTATTAGGGGAAATCTCAAGAATCCAATGTTCACTCCATCTATTAGATGGTTAAGATGCATTGATTTGTATAGATAGGCAGAACATTGTAAAATTATGACTGGATTAAAAACACGATAATAATCCACACTCCGCAGTCTACATTCTACCAACACTCGGCACAAGTTTTAGTATAGCAACTTGTCAGAATTTAGATGGGGCAATGATATTAAACAAGTCCAAACTTGGGATTTGCCCCATTACAAAACTTTTGGAATATCACTCGCTGTCTTCACACCTTGGCTATAAAGTCTCATTATGTCCTATCAATTCCAAAGATCAGAAGACCCAATCCAAGGATTCTATTTGTTGGTTGTTTAGCTGTTTGGTTTTGCTTCACCCCTGGCACTTTGATTAGTGATCAGAACAAATTGTCCAAAAAGAGTAAAAGGATGCTTCATTTCAAGTTAATGCCTTTGTCCAGCTGCATGCCATCCCAATCATTCTACTCCCACACATAGGATTTAATTTAAGGTCAACTGTGATGCAGCAATACAACTTAATGCTTCAATTACAGACAGTCAAAAGTACAACTAGTGCATTTATGACTACTGGAGCAGAATCTGATGTTTCAGCCTTTCAGGTTGTTCTCTCTCATGCCATAGGCAATGGGACAAGGAAAAGTAGCAAAAATCGACAGTTCCACTGAAGCTGTCCTTTTGTCTTTTTTTTGGGGAGGTTCACATCATTGTGGAGGATACAGAGGAAATCCTAAAAACATCAAGAGAAGAGTAGGTTTGTTTGTAAGAGGGAAAACAGAATTGTTCATTCAATAGCAAAGAAGGCTCTATCTCATCTGAATTATCATTTAGTTTTCTCTCGCCATAATGGATTTTATTCTCATCAGGGACTTGTTGCATTCCTCTCTGATATGGATTTTCAATTAGCTAGAAAAGAATTTAATGGGGACAAAGAAAGGCATGTAAAACAAAATAACAAGGAAAATGAATTTGTATTGTATCAACTGGATATATTACAACAAATTTAACCAGACAATGGAAGATTACAAACTGATTGTTACATGGACCCTTTACTCAGAGAGGAATGACCATAAATGTATGATGCAAATCCCCAAAAAGTAATTATCAGTGAGAGTATTTTGAAACCACTCATGGGATCGTTAAACAAGATAACGGCTGCAATGCTTGTGAGAGGTACCCTTACTGCATTAAGAACACCGGCCAGCACAGTAGAGGCCAAAAAGAGCACAGCAGTGCCACCTAACACCCCCAGTTGAAAAGTAATAGCACCCCAGATGAGGACCATGCAGTATGCAGTTTCCCCATGCTTGAAACTTTTAGCTTCAGATTTCATGCCTTGGAAGTCATTATTCACAATGACCCCAATTGTGGTGAAGATAAATGCAAATAGAGAAACCATGACCTGCTGCTCCAAAACAACATGGTAGGATCTTCTCCCCAGTAATTTCACAAAAACTAGCTCTGAAAGAGCAAAGATTAGTCCATGGAGAGCTGATCCCAAAATGTCCCAGATAAATCCCATAATATATTGCTTGTTACTGATATAGCTATACCTATCTGATTCTGAATCCAAGGCAATGATAACCATGGCAGCAGTGATGATCACAATGGCATTTATGGTGGAGCTGTTCAACTTGTTTTTCACAATAAAATACCCAAAGAGTGCAGAGAACACAAGGGAAGATGATGCAAGAAGAGAAGCGGTTGATGCCGGGAGGTAGGCATAAGCCCATGAAAACATGAGGTTGTCAGCAGCACTTAAGAAGCCCAAAAAAATATAAGAGAGAGTGAGTTTGAAGGTAAGAGCAGTGGGCTGAGTATTGGTGAGAAAGTATATAGGAACCAAGAATAGAGCAGTCAGAGGCCACCCTGCAACTGCCACCCATGATATGATCCACTTGCTCTTGCCCCCATTGGCATAATAGAGACGAGATAAGAGGCTGGAAGCAGGAAAAGCCAGAAGCATTGCCCCACTGCTTAGAAATAGCAAAATCCAGTATGAGGCTGGCTTCATTCTGTATGTTTCCCAAGCCATGGTACTAAACTTGGAAAATTTCCTCCATAAGGAATCGGGGGATCCTGATGATGTCTCCCTTGTTGTAGTTTGAATATGAGTATCTATTCATATCAGATGGAAAAAAAAATTAGAACAAAAAAAGGAAGAGTTTATTGCGTTACCAGAACAGATATGAATCAATTAAACCAGAACCTGCAAACTGCCTATTATGATAAAGAAGACAAGAAGCTAGTTAGCACAATTCCTGCAAAGACCTAGGTAAGTGAACAAACAAAAACAATAGAAAGGGTCTAAGAGTGAAGCAGGCATCATGTTCTCCTTTTTAGGCTGACAGTAACCTGTTTCTTGAAGGCCTAGCATATGAAAAAAGAAAAAGAAAAAGAAAATTCTGCCCCGCCAGATTGTAATTCAGTTTATTAATGCAACAAAGGCCGAATTCTAGAGGGTGGATGAAAAGGATTGGAAAATTTTCAAGATTGACCAAGGAAAAATTGTCTTAGAATTATCTTTTTAAAGCTCCTTCTATTATTATGCATCTTTTGCTTAGAAAAGGAAACTCAAACCTGGAAAGGATATATGGGCGTACTTGACATCAATCTTAAAGAACTCCAGTACAGCTAATCCTAGTTTATATGTTTTTATATTTCCAGTTCCGTTCGCAATAGGTCTCTGCAAGGTTAGGAGCATAAAAGGGCACAAACGCCTTGAATCTTTCTTATACAACTTGCTACAAACAGCTTAGTAACAGTTCATTTCCATCAAAGTACCCAAACAAAAACTGTAAGTTATATACCAGCAAACAATCAAACAAGACAAAAACAACCTTACAGGACAGGATTCAGAATAAATTCCAAGAATTTAATTGCTCCAAGCCCACAAAAGAGATGACATAATTCTTAAGGCTACCGATTGAAATAACCCGGAAATGGTTTCCCAAATTTTCTACATTTGCATTCAGAAGAGGGAAACAAAATACAAACAACCCACAACTTAAAACAAGTAATTAATTAATTCGAAGAAGAGAAATGCTAAAACTCTACTAAAAAACAGGCACTTGAGAGAAGAAAATTGCAAGAAAATAAAAAATTGGGAAATAATCAAAGAGTGAAAGCTTGATATGAAGCTTGAATTGGTTCAAAATTCGATTAATATACAAGAAAGGGAAAATTAACCTTGTTTGTGGGAGGAATCGATATCCATTGGTCAAGTGTCCAACTCCCTCCGAAAGAAACCCCAAGAAGGCCAAAAGAAAGCTTTCTCTCTTCCTGGCTCCTGCTACTTGAGAGCTCGAACTCTCATGGTTGGTAGTTGGAACTTCCGGCAGTGATGCCTGTGTGCAATCGTTGGTTTTATCTTTCTATTCTTAGTCGATTAATGGATTTTGATTTTTGACTATTTTTGACGATTTTTTATTTTTTTATGGTAAAAGAATAATCAAAATCCATGGGTTTAATTATTGTTTGACTGTGAGCAACCATCTGATTCGTGGGCTGGTCTCTCTTTTCAGATTCGATTCATCATAACACAAATATGAAATACATTTGCTCTTGTTGTCTGATGCTACACTACCAATCATTGTTCAAACGGTGTGCCCATTTTAAAAAGACAAAAACACCCTTAAATGATACGCTAAATTTAAAGGCCGGATCTTATAAGGTGACGTGAGCCCACCCTCATACAGTCATACATACAGAACATCCCAACTGTGAATTGGGAACATCTCTCAATAAAATTAGGAGATGTTTTCAATGCACGTTGGAGCCTCACAACATCTTACAGGCACATTTCACCATGCATTAAGAATATCTCTCGTATTTATACATTGTTATTCATGCGAGATGTTCTCAATGCAGGGTGAGGTCAGTATAAGGCTCCCTGTGGAGGAGACCGGATCTGTTTCTCACATCTGGCGCCTCACATGCACATTCTACCATGCATCAGAAATATTTCCTGTACTTATTAATTATTATTCACAGGAGATGCTTCCAATACATGGTGGATGTGCATGTAAGGCGCCCATTTGTGAAGAGAAGATCCGTCTCCATGTGGAGCAGATTTCAATTTTGTTGAAAATATCTCCCAATAAAATTAAAGATAAATTTCTTAAAATATTCTTATAATTTAGGTAAATATACCTTTAATGTTTGAAAATTAACTAACACTATTCTTTGTTTCTGACAATTGACTAACACTATGTTAACGTTAATTAATGTTCTCTCACAATGTATGCACATGTAACTCCACGTGACCTATACACTTTTTTTAAAACCCAATATTGCCCTCGTACCTGAGCCCCCACTCTCTCTCTCCTCCGCCTCTGTCTCTCTCCATTCTCAACCTCTTGTCTCTCTCTCCCCTCTGCCCTCTGTTTTCGTTGGAAGAGGGTTCATCGCTGCCACCGGAGCAAGAATGGGGTGCCGTTGTGTGCAGCTGCGTCTTCACTCTTTCAGTGTTTGAAGAGGTGTTATGGTCCCGCACGTAGGATCCCGTCACGGGTCGGTCCACGGTGCGAAAGCCCTGCTTCCCCTTGCGCCTTCCCTTGCTTGCAGACCCGATTACGGAAACTGAATGGGTGATTTGTCCAAGAGACCACCCGAACTCTCCTAA